CGCAAGCCTCTCCTCAGCGTGCCTGGCAAGGCGATGCTGAATAATCCTTGCCAGGACCTTTCCCGGCACACTGAGGAGTGAGATGCCCCTGTAGTTGTTACAGTCTGTGCGGTCCCCCTTCTTAAAAAGGGGGACCACCAGGGCATCCTTCCAATCCTGCGGAACCCGTCCAGTGGTCCAGACTGTTGTTATGATGTCATATAGGGCAGTCTGTGCACAAACGCCACCCTCCCTCAGCATTTCGCTTGGGAGATCATCTCTGCCCGCTGCCTTTCCTGGTCTCAGACTCCGGATCGCCTTCAATACTTCCTCAGCAGATGGCACCTCAGCCAGCCACTCACAGGGGGTGACTTCATCCAATATTTGAGGCACCGCAGCCTCAGCAGGGTCATCCTCACTTTGTGCCACGATGTTTTCCTGGCTGTGGGATTTTCCCTCCCCCAGGACCTCACAGAAATGCTCAGCAAATCTGCGAACCTGTTCCTGGGGGTCGGAAATTGGATCACCGTTTTTTCCCCTAATGATGGTAATAGGTGTGGCGCTGCAGGTTACTTTTTTGATGGAGTTAAATAGCGATTTGTGATCACGGGCCACTGAGGCAGACTCCATCTCCTCAGCAACCCGCGACCACCACCCATCCTTGCAGCGCCTCACGGCTCTCCGAACCTCCGAGCGAAGGCTGCGGTAAGCCACCTCATTCTCTGACGTGGGATTCTGTAGCCGATGACAGTGGGCCTGTCGCTTTTTCTCAACCATCCTGAACAACTCCTCTGTCATCCAGGGTGTCTGGGGAGGTCTGGACCGCGTACCCAAAGCAGCCATTGCAGCTGCATGAGTCACAGTCCTAAACCTCGCCCATTTACCCTCGACATCAGGAGGAGTCGGGGACGATGCCAATCCCAGCCGCAAGCGATGATGAAATTCTCGCTTGCAACTTTCATCAGATAACTGAGACCAGGCCACTTTAGGTTGGAATGGGGTCCTGGGTGTACACCCACCACCGGAGTGGAAGAATGGCAGGCGCATCTTACAGATGACTAGTCGATGGTCAGAGGGCAGATCAGCTCCACGGTAGGTCCTGGTGTCAAGGACATGGGCTCGCATTCGCTGGTCCGTCACTATGTAGTCCAGCAGATGTTCTTGCTTGGACCCGGCATGCATCCATGATGTTGTGTGGATGCGCCGATGCCGGAACAGCGTGTTGGTAATTACAAGCCCATGGGCTGCACAAAAATCTAGCAGCCTCCTACCATTGTTATTGAGCTGATCTGGCCCATGCCCTCCAATCACTCCAGACCAGGTGCCAGTATCATGACCAACTCGGGCATTGAAGTCACCCAACATGATGACTCTATCCCGAGGGGCCACTTTAGCCAGCACCTGTGACAGGAGGTCATAGAAGGCATCTGACTCATCGGCTTTGCCTGCATCCCTCCACGGATGTTCATCTTCGGTGGGGGCATAAGTAACCACGACCACCATTCCTCGCCTCCGGTTGATGGGAAGGCGAGCCCAAAGTAGCCTGGGGCTTACAGCTTCCCACACCTCACCGCCACGCTCCCACGCCCCCTTCATTCTTTTGTTCAAAAGAAGACCCACACCCTGTTGTTTGGCAGTCTGCTGCCCCGAGTAGAGGACTGTCCACCCCTCATGGTGGCAGGAGCCAGAGCCGGTCCACCGGACCTCCTGAATGCCGCATAGATCCAGGCGGTACCGGTCCAGCTCCCGACAGAGGAGTGGCAGCCTCTCCTCTGCAGTGAGCGTTCGAACATTCCACGTGGCCACCCGTAGTGGCTTTTCGTTGTTTCTGGAGTAGCCCCGAGGGTAGGTATTCAATCTCCTGGCTCCGCCAATTGGGGTTTGGCCAGGAGACGTCATAGACGCCTGGCCCCCCGGGGCCTCCGGCACAAGCTTAGTTGTTACATATTTCACTTTAATTCGTGGTTTTGTGGTAATTAATTGAAGGTGGAGGGGTTACCAGCCCCTCGCACCCGTCCAGAGCCCCCGTTTAGCCCCTGTGGTGGACACATATGCCATGAGGGGAGGAGCCAATCAAAATTGGAACTCCCCCCACAGCACTGTCCACGACAGAGTTGCCCGTCCGGCACCGCGAGGAGGTAGGGGGTTGTTTTGCCGGATAACCCACTCACCCACTCACACCCCCATAACCCACTCACCCACTCACACTCTCACCCACTCACACCCTCACCCACTCACACACTCACCCACTCACACTCTCACCCACTCACACCCTCACCCACTCACACACTCACACCCTCACCCACTCACACTCTTACCCACTCACACATAACCCACTCACACACTCACACTCTCACCCACTCACATCCTCACACACTCACACCCTCACACACTCACACACACATCCGTTTCTACTTCTTCCCTCGCACTGCTCAACTTCGGAATTCCCTCCCATCGCCTCTTGTTTTCTAGCTCATAACCTCACTCAATTCAATAAATGTATTCACCCTTATCGATTACACCTTCAATTGTTGCTGTTTGTTGCTGGCCGCTTGGCATGTTGGACCATTGGGCCTACTGTGCTCAGCAACCGTGATGTAAACAAAAACAAATTACGAGGACACATCAACAACTGTTGGGGTTTTTATTTTTGCTAGTGTTAGAGCGGTTTTGTGTAAATGTCAAATGCGGGCAGGCCCCCAAAATAAGAGCGCAGTTGGAAAACTGCCCCCCCCCCCCCCTCTCTCTCTCGCCTGCGAGCTGAGCGATAACTCAAGGAGCGCCGTGCCAGTCTGCCTGTTGAAGCAAGCGCAGAGGGCGTCAGTGATCAGTGCCGGATTATCCGAGCAGCAAAAGTAGCCACTTATTAAGTAGCTACGAGCCCCGAACTTTCAAGGGCCCAGCGGCTAAATGCTTTCCAGCTATCAATTCCGGTTCGGTGATTCTGCACTTGCTCTATTACTGTAGTACTATACCGCCTTCGACTTTTATGAACGACTGGGTGTTTAAGGTTAGCGATTTGTCGTATTATCTGGCTGTATAGGAAATGAAAAAATACAAATACTGTACTATGCAAGTAAACAAAATTGTGTTTTAATATTTACGTTTTTTTATATTTAGGGCCCCTTTATAACATCATGTTACAGGCCTCGCACTAGCTTTATCTGGCACTGTGGCCACTGCCTGTTGAAGCAAACGCAGAGAGGTCAGTGACCGGCCATCCCGCCCCTACCACCTCCCCCCCCCAATGCCACCGTGACGAGAAGCCGTGCAGAGTGAATGGGTTTGAGACCCAGGTCCACATTCTTGGGGAGTAAGGAGTGGGGGGGCTTGTTTGGGGATGGATATCTGCCCCAAAACACTTGCGCATACCTGCAAGACAATGAAAGCGCCTTGATTTACTCGGTTGTCAAATACAGCTACGGGAGGAGCTGGATAGATGTTTAAGGGGGTGCCGCCGTTTGGTAACGTGCTCGCCGCAGGGGTTCGCGATTTCAATCCGGTGGATGTACGCATTGTGGTATTGTTGCACTTCACCCGCAGTATACTGCCACAGTTTTTATGGACATAGGATGGCTGACAAATGCACGGGGGGGGGGGGATTTTTTATGTGGAAAAGTTGGCAACCCTCTGTCCCTCCGTTGTTTTGGTAAAAGCTGCGGACCGACTACGACTCCCCTCCACGGAGTAACCCTGACTGCACCCAAGGTTGTCAAGTATTGGGAGTTTACTCCGTGGAGAACAATTTTGTTTATTTATCAACACATCGTGTCACAAGCTACACTTCGACGTGTTTCACTTGAACGGGGGTTCAAAGGGCACGCTTTTAAAACACCTATTTGTACAAGCGACACAAAGGTGGTTTTGTTTTTCTTGGACCAGATTTGCACAATTTTGTAAGGACAGCAAGATAGTTTATTTTTACGACTGCGATAAGGGTCACGCCGCTGCGCAAAAAAAAAAAACCCCACTCGGTGTTTTTCGCCGAGTGTGCGACAACACAAATCAGCGGCACGACCGTACCGCGCTACCTGCCGGGGCCCTCGACTCGAGACTGGTGCGGCAGACAGCGCGCCTTGTAATGTCGACAAGATAAGACAGGGCCCGAAGTTTTCCCCCTCCCTCCCCACCCTCCGGAGGGTTGCGTCCGCCTGTTGGGTGGCTCTTTTTAACGACTCGGCTTCCGATTTGGAGGCTCGCCCATGGCAGTAAAAGTTGTCGAGGCCCTTGGGTGGGCGCACGCACCAAAGACTCCCGAACACTCCCAAGTCGGTCCAGTCAAGTCATTCGTAGATGATAATAATAATAATAGACTGGAGTCCATTTGTACGGAGTACACTGTGAGTGCATGCTGCTGTGGTGGAATGGTTTACACACTCTGAACTTGAACCAATCCAGAGGTCACCGGTTTGTTTGTGCTCCCGGTGCGGCATACGGAACAATGGGGAAAGTTTTTGTTAATGCCCCCTACCCCCAACCACCTCTGTCCACCCAGCAGTGTAAATTGGTACATCAGCTGGTGAGTGGGGTCAAGTGCAGGCACAGCGTGGAAGAGTAGGCCAAGTACCCTCCAGAAGAGGGTTGCAGAGCTGCACTTTCATCGTTCAAATTTGACAGTGTGGGTGCGTGGTTTATCGTTTTATACTGTACCTAATAAAGGCTGAGACTCGCCAGATCAAAGCGCATGCCCACAGCTGCAACACGACTTTAAAACAAGGTGGCTTATCTAAAACTCCTATCAGACCATGAACAAAATCTAATTTTATAATTGCTATGACTCCAAGTAACATAATATTAATATGCAAATAGAGCAGTCGCAGCATACATTGTCATATTTGAAACTGACGAGTCCTATTGGCGATATACAGCACCGTCCATAGATCAATTAAGGTCTTCGCTTTGAGATTCTGCGGCATTTAAACACCGAAGAAATTCAAGAAGAAATCCATCGTTTATCCTTAAGTAGGGCTACACACTGCTTCACGACTTATGCAACAGCGGTGCATGGACACACAAAGAAACACGAGTCGGGGCCAGGTGGCCGATTTTATTTGCGATTACGCGCCTTTGGCGAAATAATAAAAAAAAAATGACAGAACAGCACCACCATAAGCGTCTCACTCACTTGACGGCGTGACACGTTAAAAACGACTCGGGGGGGGGGGGGGGACAGGGGGACACCTTCTCCACGAGAACTAAGAGTAAAATTACGAGTGTACAAAACACGACAACCCACAACACCCGAGGATTGTGGAGGTCAAAAAATGGGGGAACGTGGAGGTCGTAAATTTTGATCTCTCACGATGCAGAGACAATAAAACGTGATGTTATATTTGTGTTTGTGTATTTTCATACCGTGATCAAAGCACGGGTAACACAAGACACGCGCGAGAAGATGGTAAAATGGCAAAGCAACCCAAGGAATGGACACGAAAGGAGTGAATTATACAACTTTTCACAAGAAAATTCGTAGTCGCACATGACCAACATTCACACACGATATAGAATTACACCACACGCAAATATACTGCTGTAATAGCAAATACCTCACCAGGCAAATTGCATGGCACCACTTTTTTTTCCTACAGAGATGCATATTGATGCAACACAATAATTAAGCCAAGGCATTGACAATCAATATGGTAATACTTTCCATTTAAAACCCATTTGAGAATGTATTCATTCAGCATGGTTTCCACTTTGTGATGTGTCTTCATGAAGAAAAGTCAAATGCAACATCTTTAACATGGCATTGGCTATCTTTCAGTTCCACAAGCATTATTTTTAGGCCATTAAAAATCAGGGTAAACAAGAAAAGCATTCACTGCATATCAAACCCTGTTGTTTAAGCAACCACATTTTCAAAAATAGTTTGACGCACACGTAGGCAATATATTACGAGAACGTTTTAGACAGTACACCCATGCTGCGAAATACACCTTTAAAATGTAATAAGTTAACTCCTCCACCCATGATCACAATAAAAACCATGTGCTTAACACTCATGCACTGAAGCATTTAAGTACTTTCCCATGAAGCTCTGTCCTAATGCCAATTACAACTGCATGCACCATGATAACAATACTGAGCATGGTTAGTATTTGGCAAGCTATGGTTCAAACACAAACTATCAACTTTTCAATACACAATGAGGTTGAATTATTAGGTTTTTGTAGGGCACCAAAATTGTGCGGGGCACCAATTGGCATTTCAGAAAATGTGAGGGGTTGATTAAGAATTAGGAGCGATTCCACGTGGATCACGAGAGCATCCAGTTGCCGACACCACATCAACATTCTTTCCAAAATTCGGTCCGTTCGACTAATTACAGTAAACATAATCGGTGTTCTGAGAATTAAAACGCTCTCTAGCACAGCGCCAAAAACGTGACTTGTGCACGCACTCCCATTCCAATCTGTTGAGCAGACTGTGGCTCCGACGCGATTTGGTCACAAGAACAGATTTCCCAATGATCGATCTCTCCGTTCACAACCCTCTCCCTTTGAGATGAACCTCAGTTACCAAAGGCACATTGCAATGTTCAAGCAAATAAACATTTGTAGTGTTGGCATCTGTCAGATCATATCATTGCCAATTATCGAGTGGGGGGGGGAAGTAGCTATATTTGGAACGTGGCAATGGAACGTGGCAATGTTAGCCGTGACGTAAAAACCGCCACCGGGTATGCACAAATGTCTCACTGCTGAGGCTGATCAATTGCTGCTCTGAGTTGGTCCGAGTTTTCAAACACCGCCGAGATAAACTCGTCGAAGAGACGATCCATGTAGTTGTCATCCCGAGGAACGAGATGCTCCAGAAAGGCAATGTGGCCCCCGTGTGTGGTCACCAACAAGGCCAGGTTGGAAGATCCTCTGGCATCCTCTAGTGGCAATGCTAAAAACAACATGGGTAGCACAATTTAAGCATGCCAACAAGGACACTCAAATGATGTTGATGTTGGAGTTCTGTGCAAAACCAGCTACCACTGGCCAAGACTAATAGAGAATATACCTAAATTGAAAGAAATAAAAATAATTTTAACCGTTCAGATAGCTACCGACTTAGTGCTGTGTGCAAGCAAAGCATCAAATAATACATTGTTTAAATGCATGCCTATACGAGGCACCATACTTCAATAGGGATTACCGTTGGTACGGCTATTTTAATACACAATGGACAGGAAGGACAAGATCGAAGAGCTCGCATAATGTACGTTGGCTCATTAATCACCCCCCCCCACTTTATGCAAGAGCGCAGAAGCGTGGTCACCACATCTAAGTCTCTATATAAGGAACGAAACAGGAGGACTTCTCCACAAACCTGTCTGTCGCCTGATGAAGCTAGTTGTAATTACTGGCGAAACGTCGTACTCAGATTGTAAATGTTGTGGCTTGGCTCTCCAACACACCGGTGTGCTGTACTAGTGACGAATTGGCATGTTCTGTTTACGTGACAACCCTGACTAGTTGGCTGTGTCGGGTGGTGGCGGGTTTTAACGACAATATATTTAAGCGATCTAACCCAAAAAAAACTCTATTATGATCATTCAAATCTTTAGTGCTCTCCGATGTGCGTTCGGGTTTGTTACTGCATTTTGTCCGGCAACAATGTCCGACTGCCAGGAGCATCTTCAGGAACTGTCACGGCCTATCTTGATTATATTTTTTGATTTAAAGCTTTCATGACTGCAGTGATTCATATTCTTGGTTCTTTCGGTAAAGTCACGTTGAAGGAAAGCAATAAAATAATAAAATATATAACGTGACTTTACCGAAAGAACCAAGAATATACCTCGATTATATAAACCGCATTGTGGTAACTGCTCACATTGTGCGATATCCTCTTATTAACACACAACAAAAATTCAGTTTAAATGTCACCGAGGTGACAAAACGCAGACATTAGTTATTATACAAGCAAAAGGTTATTTCTGGACAACCAAAAGCCCAATCGTGACCATCCCTCCAATCGTATGTTTGTCAAAACACATCACCATACCACGTGTATAGTGCACAGGAGCCTTGTTTAAAACCATCAACAGCCAAATTTTTTGCCATATTATTTTAGACGGCAGCTGGACAATCGTACGACTATATTCCAGATTCATCCTTGCTAGGAATATCGGTGCCGTATAGTCATCATTGCCTACTGCTGCCTTGTGCGTCAGGGTCTTTACGTGGACAAGCCTTCCCTGATCACTCCGGGGGCGGTTTGGCACTGCCCAAAACATGACAAATCAGTCACTCAAGAGACAGACTGGTGTGTGGCAGCACAACTACTTACAGCACTTGGGATTGAAGGGGTCATCCTCCGAGCTGAGCACCAGCACTGGAACTCGCATGTCCTTTATTCGGTAGCAAGGGCTGGCGTCGTGGTGGTACTGCTGCGTCGTCTCGTAATTAAACATTGGCGCCGTTAACCGGTCATCGAAGTCCCAGACAGACTTGGCCTAATGCAAACGGGTACAACCCAACATTAGGGGTCATCCATTTAGTACGTACGCAAAAATCTGTCAAAACTTGACCTCCCCCCCCACTCCCTGTAGGCACGCGGACTTTTTACACCCCCCCCCCCCACACAACTGTGTACGTTCGTTTGTCGCAACCCCCCCCCCCCCCCCCCCGAATCCTATAGAACGGCCGATATTTAATCCACGCAGAAACGATCAAGGATTAATAATATTAACGTGTTTAAGCAAACAGATAGTCCACCGCCCGACTATCTAACTCATTTGAAGGCCAATGTAGACAAATTATTATCGAGGCTTCACGCCTCCCCCCCCCCCCCCCCGTACGGACATTGTCAATAGACCCCCCCCCCCATACGCAAGCGGTACGCATTTGGGTTAACCCCCCCTCTCCTCTCCATGCGTACGTACTCAATGGATGGCCCCTTACCACGGTGGTAGCGTTTCACAATTATTCACGTACAGCTCTCCCATACGTTGTCAGGTTGTACCGTGTGTTGTTAGGCACGACGCGCGACGTTTCGCTCCACTTGTCGCGAGCTTCAACCGAATTGTAATCAGTTCTTGAAGGAGCTCCCGACACATTCAATGAAATGTTGGACATCATGCTGCTAAGGCACACGGTACCGCAGAGCTACAAAACCAACAACTGGCAACTTGACTGCAACGGAGCAGTCTCATTACAGCCGACGTGAACATTCAAATGTACCTGCAGAACAATGCTTACCTTCAAAATGTGATCCACATCGAACCTCTTCTCCAAGACTTCTCTATGGCTGTAAGACAACATTTACGGTGTTGTGAACACTCTTACATCAATGTTCCTTCACTGCTACTAAGAAGAGGTAATGCTCTGTTTATATTAAACTACTATTAAAATAATATATGCCTCGAGTTTCCTGGCTGGCTGCTAGCCGGGCTCCTCTCCACCCCAGAAACAACAAATTGCTCGTTTCACTTTGCGCTATTAACGTGATTCTTTCGCGAAAAGATTATTTAAATCCTGTAGAATAATAATAAATAAATACCTCACCGTACATAATATCCTGCCATTGTATTCAATAAGAGAGCAGCATACTTTGAGTGCTCCGAGTACAGGACGATTGTGAGAAGTGTGTGAAAATGACAGCCGCCTCTTATTTTACGTTGAAGGGCAACGGGGTTCCCCTGCAAGCAAATGTCTTATTTTTTTAACTGGTGGTGCAACATGAAATATTGAGCGGTTAATTTACCGGCGCACATATCTCAGGTAGTGTTTCATCACGTAGTGGTTGAAAATAAGCCAGTCCAGCCAGCGGTAGGAAATGGACAGCTCGGCGTTCCAGGATGGCGAAACCGCAAACGCCGCCACAAGTTCACTTTTGTCTCCCGACTTCCCAGCGTAGTTGAGTACGATGTTACTGCACAGACACAATCTTTAGGCGTTACGATTTTCACGTCACAAAGAAACAAACATCGCAGTGCTGTACATTATAAAACGGCAACAAATGACATTTTCTAAAGATGTGTGTGCTTTTGGTTGCCGCTGTACGCTGTTCGGCACGATGTCTGACACATCGCTCCAAGTTACTGAAGCTCCCAGCGCGTGGAGGGAAACGTTGTAGTAGTTATTATCATTATTATCATGCCGAGCAACGTGTGGCGCAACTCAAACACACGTGGGAGAGATAATACAGCACACAACTGCAAACATTTCCGCAGCAAAATTATTTGCAAGCACATCTTGTCTTATATAGATTTATACAGCGCCTTATCATAAGGTGCTTTACAACCATTATAAAGTTGAACATAACATGACAATGGTTGAAATAAGGATTGGGGTTATTAAAATTGGTGGTGTAGTTACGGTGACAGGAGAAGAGGTGAGAGTGGTGTTGGAGGGGTTGGGGTAGTGATAGGGGTTTGGGTAGTGATGGGGGTTGGGGTTGTGATGGGGGTAGTGATAGGGGTAAGCCTAATCATAGCTGGGGGGTGGGGGAGGGAGCAGGAGTAAGTACTGAAGTCAATCAATAAATTGTGGTGCAGTAATTCAAGACATTTAAACAATGGTGAAAAAGTATGTTTACCCTCCGAGTGATATTCCAGCAGCTATCAGTGGTGACGCTGGGTAGAGGGATTTAAAATGTTGTATCACAGTTTCCAAATCTTCTGTATTTGCACCACAATACGTTCTTGGGGTCTATATAAAAAAAAGCATATTTTTTTAAATATATACTTTGTAGTATATTAACTTGGTAATTATTTGACCACCAATAAATCAAATGGCAGAATAAGAACGAAATTACCAGAAGCCTTGTTCCTCCGAGTCCTCTGTTATGAAATATGATGCACCTACGAAAAAAAAACATTTGTTAAAGTCACATTTTACAAAAGTGTTCAAACCGATGATGAAATTTGTCATCGTAAGCGCAATTGTGGATTTTCTAAATGTTTCCTAAATGTGATTAGATTGGTTTACAGCAGGTGGCATTCTGTAGGGTAGACACACCTTTGCATGATGGGGTTCTGGTGCATTATATCCTCGATGGATAGGGAGAGGACCTAATCTGATGTGGCTGACCCGAAGCCCACACCGGACAACATGCGATAATAATTCCCCTTCGGGGGAATTATCAAATAGAACACTTCACACTTAAGATTGACACAGATTGAGGAGAACTGAAAACAGCTGTCCAGAACTGCATTTACAGTATGCAGCCATCATCCACTTGGAAAAATCTGTCAAAACCTTGGGCACAAATCCAGCTGTGTGCTGAGAATGGAGGGCAGCAAACGGAACTGAAAAGGCACATTGTGGGCCGCCCTGTCGTGGGCCGTGAGCATACCTGTAACCCCGAATCTCAGCTTTCCGCACCAGCGATACTATATAGTTCTCTTCGCTGCCACCTGTCAACCCCGGCAGAAAAACTATCGTGGGACGCAACAGGGGATCAGGGTAGACAGTGGCTTTATTGTTGTCCAGCCAGTGCAGCGATAACTCGCCGCCATCTGGGGTATTTATTAACTCACTGCAAAACGAAAGAGACAAAGTCAATCACATATACATGGGCTGCCGTGGTGAAACTTAAAAGCTCATCGCTGAGAGATTTCAAAAACACAAGTCCATCCAAAGTATGACTGCGTATCTTTTGCACGGTACTAGGGTAGTTCTCCAATTTGGTTTAAGGTTGTGCCGCGTGTTGTTCGGCATGGTGTACGACGTTTCGCTCCACATTCTTGGAACTTCTTGGGGAACTGAATAATTTAGTACTTCGGTTCCTGATCAAGCTCCCAGCTAGTGGAGCGAAATGGCAAGACATCACCTCGCGAGTTTCGAGTCATCAAGAGTTAAAGGACTTCAAGAGTAGGTTTTCGTAGCCAATACAATGATCAATCTTTGTTTTTGGGCCACGTAGTATTACGCCAAAATCCTTGTCATTAACCCTGCACCACCACACAAGATTGTCACACTTACAAATATATTATTTACATGTGCCATATATTATTGATACGATTTCATGATGCCGAATTCAGTCACAAAAAGTCTTAAGCCACTGGTGAGCTTTATTGGTCAGAATTTGATCAATACATTGGCATGAATAAATAAGATCTTTGCAAATGAGACAATCTTGTCGGGGCAGTGGATGGTCAATGACAAGAATGTTGGCATAAAAATACCACGTGGTCTAGTCCAAAACCAAATGTGAACCAATGGTTAAAAGAATATGGGTCAAGTAAATTTTGTTCAAAGGTATTTGTTTTTGTGGCACCCACAACTTAACAAGAGTATTATTGTTTTATATATATTTGATTATTGTATTGTTTCCCTTCAACGTGACTTTACCGAAAGAACCAAGAATAATAGTATGCACTTTGATTTAAAGCTTTCGTGACTGCAGGGATTCATATTCTTGGTTCTTTCGGTAAAGTCACGTAGAAGGGAAACAATAAAATAATAAAAATATAAAACAATAAAATTCTCACGACGTTTCGACTGCAACACAAGCAGTCATCATCAGGTGTAAAAACCACAGCAAGAAAAAACCGAGAAGATAGATTCTGGCTTAGCAATCATTGGAAGGATTTGATAAACCATTTCGGGTCTTAATTGATTGATAACGCTTAAGGTGACTTTCAGACCACATCCATTATTTTTTGTCTCCCGCCTCCTCTTTTCCGAACATAGATGGACTCGTCCATCTGAACAAACTGTCAAATCGCTATCCGTGGTGCTAACATTAAATAAAGCCACTTTTTTCAAATTTTCTTGCTGTGGTTTTCACACCTGATGATGCTACTTGTGTTGCAGTCGAAACGTCGTGACAATTTTATTGTTTTATATTTTTATTATTTTATTGTTTTTCCCTTCTACTTGACTTTACCGAAAGAACCAAGAATAAGAGTATTCGCCCGTGTGATATGTGGGTAATTGCATGGCAATGGGTGCCAAGCATAACTGCAGGAATTTAAAATGTGCAGCCAGTCACTCAGAATGACTTGGCGTACACAATGGCTGAATGCTGAGATGACAATGTTTTGAAAGGCACAACTATGGCCATGCTGGTAAATTTGAAGAAAAAAATTACTTCCAAGGGCTATAACCTTGAAATATCTAGTTTCATTCATAATGCTATTTTTTTATTGCCTCCAAATTCAATTTTGATTAATTTATGCTGAAGCACACAGCTACTCTTTTCTCCACATCAAACCAGGTGCAATGTGCTGTAATCTAATGCACGCAACCTGCCGACAATAAAAATGTCATACTTTGCCACAATTAGTCTCCGTCGAAGATAAAAACATTTAATTTGGTAGCGTGAAATGCCAAAACCGTTCAATGTTGACCCGACAGTCTCAACCAGAACATCCACATATAATATTTACTTTCGCAAGGTCAGAATATCCACATATTTACTTTCACTAGATCAACATGATTGGTTTACATTTTTCTCATCAATATGTAACTTTAATCTGAAACGAGATCGAATTTGTCAAGTTGCACTTTGAACAGAAATGCACCCTCCAACTTTGTGAAAGTTCCTCTGCACTCTTGTGCAGTGTTGCCAACTCAGCAATTGTGTCACTAGATGTAGCAACATATTTCTGTTTTAACATCTTTCTAGGACGATGACATTACGAGCATTTAGGTGCAATTCCAAATGTGTATTCAAGATCCATTATCAGATCACTATACTTAAACAATGTGTTTAAGATTGCACTGTATATGTAATTTGTCAAGTGACATTTTTGATGACATGAGGTCTATCTAGAGATATCTAGTGACACCTAGCGACCCTTTGAGGTTCTCGTTTGGCGACTTTCCTCTTTAAGGAGCTGGCAACATTGCTCTGGTATGTACGTATGTTGAACTTATTTCCCACCGTACGTAGCCATCCGTGTTCCCACCCCCTTGTAGTGTGGCCCTCGAGTGCAAGTTACCTGCGGTAGGAGATGTGAATGTGTCGCTTGAGTAGTGGCCTCATCAATGTCATAATGCGACCTCCATAGCACCAGAAGGTCGGGTAGTATGGCTTGTTGACGATGGGGCAGTGGCTCTCAAGGAATTGGCAAAAGCCCTGCCCGCCAACTAGGATTGGTTTCTGGTGTGTCCGTGTGTGTGTGTGTACGAGTTCATGAGAACACACGACACAACAAAGACAATGCTCTTGCATTAAGATATACAATGGAGTGGATTGGGGAACACAAGGATTGCAAACATAGGCAGGTTAATGACATAATTCAAGGGTATTTTTTTCTTTACTTCAGGGAACTTTTATTTTTCGATTTAAAGCTTTCGTGACTGCAGGGATTCATCTTCTTGGTTATTTCGGTAAAGTAACGTAGAATTGAAATAAAATAATAAAAATAAAACAAATAAAACATTATTTTTATTATTTTATTTCAATTCTACGTGACTTTACCGAAAGAACCAAGAAGATGAATTCAGGGAACATCAATTATCTAGATACTGTAATTATACATAATATAAATCGTGTTATTAAAGTTGTGTCTATTAGGCTGTGGCGGAGGGCGTCACTCAGAGACGGAGACTACTATTATTATTATGCAACAAAACAGATTGCTCAACCGCCCATGCTGGACATGTTACAAAAGAGCTTCATAGCTCATCGGATTCCTCTTGCAGTCTAAATACATATTCGGATTCTGATCAAAGTAACAAGGCTTGTTTGTTGCAGGTCAGCACTCAAACAAGAACTTAACGTCCACCCCGTCCAGAACTTTAACTGTAAACCCGTCTACGGCACACACACACAGACCTGTGAACGAGTAAGGCGGCAAACTAAATGCTGAACTATGCACAGTATTCGGCGTAAAAAAACCACACACACACATCGAAAGCATAACTGCGAAAGTTAAAAAAAACATCGATGCTCCCAATGTAATCGGTTGGATTATACACTAACACGATTTTTTACACTAACACGATTTTTGTTCCTGGGTAGTAAGTGTTATTTTCTAATTGCTTATTCCTCAAAAGTATATAAAACGGCTATTATTCCCCACAAACTTTGCTTTTGTGACCAGGACTGTAGTGAAGGAATGACACAAATGCACACGACGTTTCATCACTGGAAATAGGTACATTTCTAAATATCACTGGAAATAGGTACATTTCTAAATATCACTGTCCTGGTCACAAAAGCAAAGCTTGTGGGGAATAACATAAATTTTCTGTACTTTTGAGGCATAAGCAATTGGAAAATAACACTTACTACCCCAGGTACAGAAAGACAAATGTTGTTACGCAGTGTTATCCATAACAGCCGTGGGTCAACACACCCGAACCAGAACCATCGACGTTACCGACATGATCAATATTTAGTTATTGTTCACAACCCCCACAAACAGCACCTGTGTGAAACAACGTGCACACACACAAGCCTGGGGGTTTCGCTTGTCAGGTTCACGGAGGAATCGTTCTGTCAAGAACAGTGCGGAGGGCCTGGAGCTGGGGCACACGACGACCAGAGAGGCGACTGACGTTCGACGGTTAAGGAGGGAACCACTGGCAGCCGAGTGATGTAACGCGTCATAGAGATCGTCGCCTGCGGAGATGCAGCGACGAAACCATCCGATGTGCCGTGTGCTACGTACACAAATATATAATAGCATCACCACACGATCGTAAAGCATGGCGGCGGCTTGGGCGAGGCCTTCATCCAGCAGTTGATTGATCATGGCCGATAACGTGTTCGTTAAACACGGTCAATGACACCGTGACATAGTTACACGTGCTGCCGAGCCACCGGCGTCTCTCCTAGCCGACCTGCGGGAAAGGGCGCGCCTCAACCGGCACGCCGTGCAGGCCGAGCATGGTGGGGGGGTGGTTGGGTGGGTGGAGAGTTCCTCCTGTAAAGATGAAGGGGTTGGTGAGCGGGTGCATACCTTGACGACTCTGAGAAAATACTGCAGCATGTAGAGGGACAGGCAGCCCGCCAGCAGCGACAGCGCCAGCATGCTGCTGTTGCTGCTGCCAGGTGGGACGCGGCGCGCACATCACTACGCCGTGCCGGCCACACACGGCAGCGGCCTGACGTCCATTGAGCCAGGCTGCCCGGCGGCTTTGCCAGATCAGAGGGAGGTTTTTTTTTTAACCTCCGTGGTTGGGCTGCTTGCTTGTCAGTTCAGAGGTTTTTTTTTTTAACCTCCGTGGTTGGGCTGCTGTTTGTCAGTTCAGAGGTTTTTTTACCTCCGTGGTTGGGCTGCTGCTTGTCAGTTCAGAGGTTTTTTAACCTCCTATGATGGGCTGCTGCTTGTCAGTTCAGAGGTTTTTTTTAACCTCCGTGGTTGGGCTGCTTGCTTGTCAGTTCAGAGGTTTTTTAACCTCCGTGGTTGGGCTGCTGCTTGTCAGTTCAGAGGTTTTTTAACCTCCGTGGTTGGGCTGCTGCTTGTCAGTTCAGAGGTTTTCTAACCTCCGTGGTTGGGCTGCTGCTTGTCAGTTCAGAGGTTTTCTAACCTCCGTGGTTGGGCTGCTGCTTGTCAGTTTAGAGGTTTTTTAACCTCCGTGGTTGGGCTGCTGCTTGTCAGTTTAGAGGTTTTTTTAACCTCCGTGGTTGGGTTGCTGCTTGTCAGTTCAGAGGTTTTTTAACCTCCGTGGTTGGGTTGCTGCTTGTCAGTTCAGAGGTTTTTTTAACTTCTGTGGGTTGGCTGCTGCTTGTCAGTTCAGAGGTTTTTTAACCTCCGTGGTTGGGCTGCTGCTTGTCAGTTCAGAGGTTTTTTAACCTCCGTGGTTGGGCTGCTGCTTGTCAGTTCAGAGGTTTTTTAACCTCCGTGGTTGGGCTGCTGCTTGTCAGTTCAGAGGTTTTTTAACCTCCGTGGTTGGGCTGCTGCTTGTCAGTTCAGAGGTTTTTTAATCTCCGTGGTTGGGCTGCTGCTTGTCAGTTCAGAGGTTTTTTTACCTCCGTGGTTGGGCTGCGGCTTGTCAGTTCAGAGGTTTTTTTACCTCGGTGGTTGGGCTGCTGCTTGTCAGTTCAGAGGTTTTTTCAACCTCCGTGGTTTGGCTGCTGCTTGTCAGTTTAGAGGTTTTTTAACCTCCTATGATGGGCTGCTACTTGTCAGTTCAGAGGTTTTTTTAAACCTCCGTGGTTGGGCTGCTGCTTGTCAGTTCAGAGGTTTTTTACCTCCGTGGTTGGGCTGCTGCTTGTCAGTTCAGAGGTTTTTTTTTTACCTCCGTGGTTGGGCTGCTTGCTTGTTAGTTCAGAGGTTTTTTAACCTCTGTGATGGGCTGCTTGCTTGTCAGTTCAGAGGTTTTTTTTACCTCCGTGGTTGGGCTGCGGCTTGTCAATTCAGAGGTTTTTTAACCTCCGTGGTTGGGCTGTCTTGTCAGTTCAGAGGTTTTTTAACCTCCTGTGATGGGCTGCTGCTTGTCAGTTCAGAGGTTTTTTAACCTCCTATGATGGGCTGCTGCTGTTTGCCAGCTGCGAGGTTTTCGTTTGTAACCTTAGTGGCTTGGCGACCCCTTGGCACGTCAGAGGTTTTCGTCTCGCGTGTTTTCGAGGATTTTCGTATAAATTCGAGTGAAGTTTGGAGAGTAAAGCCACGACATTTACAATTTAGGGACCGTCCATAAATGACGTCACGCGTGTTTTTGGCCGATTTTTAACCCCCCCTCCCCCTCTCGTCACACGACGTCACAAAAAGTCAGACCCCCCTCAAATATGACGTCTCAAAGCTCTGCCCCCCCCCAAACCATATTTCCATTTTGAAAATAAAACATGCTTCAAATCGCTTTAATCTATTGTCATTGTAATGCGTATTTAACCTGGCGCTGCATTCTGATGTTGTAGGAGAAAACATTTATAAAAAAGGAGGCGTTGGAAAGCTGAAATTTAGCATGAAATTCACTTTAAAATATTCAACGTCTAACTAAAACTGCAGATGTTCAGTATATTATATTGAAATTATCTTATAATTATAAAATATTAAAAGTAATTATAACTATAAAAAATACTTGAAACTTTGTATTAGAACGAAGCAAAATGGAGAGTGCAATTATAACAATCACATATTAATTTCACAGAATGAAAAGCCCTGGTAGAACCATTAGAATCAAAATGTTTAATAACAATCAATCAAAAAATGTTCAAAATGTATGCTTCTCCATTCTCCCATGGAGAAGCAAAATGCTCCTTCATGGAATAAATAAAAGGTGACCTTAGTAAATTTAAATAATCAAATAGTTAATCATGTAAATTAATCCAAATTTGTGTTGTTATAACAGTTATGTTATTAATTAATATTTATTTAAAGGTGCGCATTTTGATGTGACGTCACATTTCTCAAACCCCCCCTCCCCCTTCCGTCACACATCGTCACAAATGTTTGACCCCCCCCCCCCTAGGTGCGTGACGTCATTTATGGACGCTCCCTTAAGTACGTTTCGCTAGTGATTATAACCAGCTTCATCGTGCGCTTTGCTATAATTGAAGTACTGTAGTGACTAATTGGCACGTTTTGTTCACGTGACAAACCTTACTCATTGGCTGTGTCGGGTGGTGGTGGGTTCACGACACATTTATATTTACGCGATCTAACCCAAAGAAAACCTTGATAGTTTTATGAACAATATATTGGTCGCGAAAGCCTACGTGTTAGATCAGTAAAAAAAATAACATTTTAAAAGATCTGAATGCGACTGTAGCTCATAACGCCGTACATACAATTTCACTTTCATTGTTCATGCCTGTAAAGCACTATGTATTGCATTGTTTTTTTGCACGAATAGTGCTATAGAAATAACGTTTGTTTGGTTGACTGATAAACGGTTAACTTATTTATTTTGTAAAAACGCGGTCAAATGCAGAGGAAAAATAGAGAGAGCTTATGCCAGGACTTGAATGGGGGACAGGGGGTCAACAGCACTGTGTGCTATGGGGAAAGCGAATTCCAGCCAACGCTGGCAGCACGTGACAAACAAACGCCTTGAGGTGGCTGCATTGTGACATTTTATTGTCAACAGCCATCCTCGATCCGAGGGTTGGCCCCACCACTGTCTTCTGTCTTCTGCTATCCTCATTCTTCCAGCGTGAGCCTCGTCCACGTGTTGATGTTGTCTATCCGCTGTCATCCTCGGTCTTCCTCGCGCCCGTGAGCCGGGTGATTAGGGACATTTCTGGGATACATGATATGGGATATGGGGTTTTGTGCCTTGCATAATCTGCTTTACCAAAGAAGTTCCATTTTTTGTCATGACATGACCATAGTAGGCTCGCTTTCTTGATTTTATCAAATCTAACAGTTTAATTTCAACACCGGCTTTCTCCAGAACCCATTCATTTGTTGATGTAATGTATGTAATCATAACAGTATAATTGGCCACCGTACAAAGACGGTCACCGCATTGCGCGCTCTCAGATGCACTTCTGCGGCCGTCTGGAACGCTCTTCCTTCCGATATTAGGAAGCCACAGCAGCTCTGAACTTTTAAATCTCGATTGAAAACTCTTTTCTTTAGGACTGCTTTTTTGTGTTTAGTTTGTTGGCCTTCCCCCACACCTCCGATTATTGCGGTTGGCTACGTACAGTGCGAAAGAAGTTCAACATACAGACATAATAAGTGCCCAATTACTTGTGTACGTAGACTTGCAATAAAGCGCCATGAGACCTATCTGACGTGGGGCAAGTGTCAGCCATGATTACTCAGATTTCCACATTCTTCTTTCTTAGTGGCATCTTTGTGACGCTGGAATAATTTTCTAGGGGACACGCCAATTTAGGATTTTGACAATTATTACGAGTATTATAATTATTATTTATTATTACAATTATTATTGTTAAAGCATTGCGCAAAAGTCAACCCTCATCAATGTGTGGGAAAATACGAACTTTGCAACATAAAGTGTGATATTGCGTTGGTGTCAGTGGAGCACAAGCTCAAATAACAATAACCCATGTCTAGTGGGTTCTACGGAGACACACACTTGTTCTTGGAGGCAACACGTTTATTACAATACCCCAACAGGGCTTAGTACATAAACGTACACTGGATCAACATCTAGGTGATAACTACATGGTGAACTAGACCACAACGGGGTAACTACATAACCGGGTCGGTCAGTAACACACTGCCTGACCCACGATGCCGAGCGTAACATCGAAGACCGAGGATCGAAGAGACGTAGCACCCACGGGTTCCATTGCAACAGAGAGCCTCGATCGCTCACCGGACTGCCGGACTGTCCCTTTATGCTCCTGAGCGTGGCCTCGTTCCGCCCTCGGCCACGCCCCCTTCTAGATCCTCCTAGAAGGCTCTGGGCCGTATCACGTGTCCCCCGAGCTCCCCTTTCGGGCCCCCTTGCTAGCCTGCCCCGGTCACGTACCCTCTCGGGTTCACACAGAGTATCACGTCCTCACTTGCTCTCTCTCCGACCCTCACCAGAACTATGCCCCGAGGGCCCAATTCCATGCCGTATCCACTCTGGTGTCAGAGAGAGACTCAAGACGTACAGTTTCACTCTTGTGACAGTAGCTAGCGCTAAACACCATAGTGACTCCATATAAGTCACTACACACGCATCAACAACACTGAGAAGAGGAAAACAATAAATAATAATAGGCACTGTTTTGATTTAAAGCTTTCGTGACTGCAGTAATTCATATTCTTAGTTTTTTCGGTAAAGTCACGTTGAAGAGAAACAACAAAATAACAAAATATATATAAAAACAACGTGACTTTACCGAAAAAACTAAGAATATGAATAGGCACTGTGTTTTGGAACAATGAACTTATGGATCCCTTGTACTCGCCGTCTGAAATTTAGATTTTTAGTTTTGTCGTTGTTATGCTCGCGCACCACGTGCCTCCTTTGCAAGATAGCGCAAGCAACTGGCGGCACAGGGCCACATGTGTAGCAAATCAAATAACATTAAACGCAAGTGCGGCTGTCCGGGTTGGGTTGTGTTGAGAATTTCTCCACTGAAGCCTTCCCTAATTCACGCTGAAAATTTCCACAGAAGCGCGTGGCCAAAGCCTGAGAGAAATAACGCTCAATGCTGCAGCCCAAACTGTCATTTTCACATTGCCAAATTTGCGTTTGTCACGGCCAAGCGGAAGCGCGTCCGCTGCTTTTTGCGGAGCTTCACGGAAAGCCACTGTGTGACGGCGTAATGGTACACAAATTACTCAGTTGACATCTGTGAAAACTTTTCAGTATCCTCCTGCAATAGAGTCATGAGACTCGGTAAGGCTTTCCTGAATAATCAAGCCTATTAATACGCTCAATTGGTAAACCTGTGTCTGCCAGCACACTGGGGCACCATGTTGGTGAGATGTTAACTACCTCGCCTGGTACACAGGAGGTTGTGGGTTTGATCTCGACCCTGACTCCTGTATATTTGGAGTTTGCATGTTCTCCCCGTGGTCGCGTAGATTTTTCTCCGGATCGACCGGTTTATCCCTCCACATTTAGAATGAACATGCATTTAGAGTATTTGGCTGCTATACATTTCCACGTGATAAGCCACTTCGTTGAGCTATCATTTGTAGCCAGGTCGCTTCCGGAAAAGAGCTTTACAGCTCAGTGGGCCTTACCTGGTTAAATAAAAATAGATTAGTTTAGCAGTTTAGTTTAACACTCAAATTATCTGCTAGTTCTACAACTGTGGTGCAGCTGTAGGCAGTAGCGACTCCTCAAAGTTCCTGTGGTGCTGGGATTCTTCCAGCGTGCCCTTCATGGCACGGTACCGCTGCGCCACCGCTCTCCAGTCCAGCACATCCTCGATTCGGCATGGCCGGAGGCGTTCCCCGACACGCTGAGACTCTGCCAGAACGACCAGGTGGATAGAAAACGAGACACCGTTATGCCGTTCACGACTCTGGGATGAAACATTATTGTGTATACGTACAGCCCGTTTGTCAATACACTGCTAGATGAGGGTCTCCACACGCCGTTCTTGATCGTAGTAAGTTATGGTTAATACACCGCAGTAATAAACAGGGCGGCCTGCCAGAGTCGAACCACGGACCTCTGCAAAAAGTGGCGAACACACTACCGATAAGGCCATATCACCACCCAGGTGGCTGCCGATCCAAGCACTATCCAGGCTCGATCTATTGTCCATTGCTCTTCAGTTCTATTACTAGTAGTGTACACGGTACAAGAGAGGCCCCGGGAAAGAACTTCTGCTTAGGATCCCCCAAAGTGCCAGCGCCAGCACTGCGTGAAGCCTCCGTGCCGAGTCACGTGCTACTTGCCATCCCGCCTGGGTCCGCGCTGTGAACGTGGTGCGTGTCACGGGCACGGTACCTGCAGGGGAGACTTTGGGCCAGCGGCGGGCGAAGCAGTGGAGCCAGCTGGAGGTGGAGTGCACGGGGATGACGATGGAATGCGAGTTGGACAATCGGTCCACCTCCTCCCCCGCGTCTGCCAGGGACTCACTCGGCAAGTCGACAGTGCCTGCGGAAAAGCGACTAATAGTTCTTGAAATGTATTTGGTTTTTGTTTTGATAGCAGGATTCGTGTACGGCACCACAGTACCAGGGGGACTGAATAGGACCGAGGACTCCCCCCTTCGGGACTCTCTTCGTGTGGTGAGTACTGCATTCAATGATTCACGTGCTGCCCCTGAAGATTAGTATACAAAAATATGCCAAAAATAGTACAATTAAGTGATGGCGGTCATGACCTTTCCTCATATGCACGGGTTGGTGAGAGCCATTGCAGAATGCACAATAGGCACAAGCAGATCACATCATTACTCATTCTGTTCAGCGTTTATCATTTGTATAACGTTTGTTTAACATTAGTGCCTCGTGCCCACCCTTGAGTTATCGTCTGCCCCACTTTAAACAAGGTCACGCTACAAGGTTGCTGTATTTTCTTGCACGGTGGCAGATAATATTTTTCAGTTTTTTCCATAACATGTGCGTATTTATGTGTGTGGACCATTCGGCGGTGGTGGGGAGTGGTAGCGCGCTGCGCTGCGAACCCCACGACTCGAGTTCGATTCCCGCTCACAGCCAACAACTGTGACAATTATCTGAACCGGTCACGGGCGTCCCCTAGGTCTACTCAGCCTCAAATGAGTACCTGGAGACGAAAGGCGGCCAGGCGCGGTGATGGCCACCCACCCCCACGTGTGCCGCGCCGGCCTTCATAAGTGCCGCTCGCTAACAGCACTTGCCACACCAAAAAGCCTTTCCAGGCTAACGCGGGGGATCTTTGTCTTGTGTTTGTTTGGACAGCGTGGTTCGTACCCTTCCTGCATGCGCAGCGCTGCAGCAGCCACAGCAGCTGCGTGACGACGTTGAGGGGGGCCGGCGGCGTCGTCCGACGCGTCGCCTCCCTCACGAGCACCGCCCGGCCGAACTTCCACTGCGTGTCGGACTGCGCCTGTATGCGCTGGTACGTGTCGCTCATCATGGCGATGAGGAGGTTGATGAGCACGATGAGCGTGACGATGAGGTAGACCCCGAACGTGGCGTTGACGAGGGTGGACACGATGGACGGTGAGCGGCTCACGTCCGGCAGGGAGTTTTGGTCGCCCATACCGAAGAGGGAAAAGAAGAGCAGCACGGTGACATCCAGGGTCGTCTGCGCCGCCGTGGGCGGGTCCCACGCTGAGGCCGCCGTCGACGAGTTGCCCACCGGGTCGCCCTGCGGGTACACGGGCTGGCACAGCGCCGTGAGGTGCAGCGTGAACGCCACGTGGAAGATCCCCAGCACCATGCCGAACCTGGGGAAGAGTGGGAACGCAGGAGCGGAACGCGGTCACTCCGGCATCGTTTTTCTCTTTCGCTACGACTGTACGTTATCGTTTCAGGCAAAGTTTTGCGAAGCGTCTCAAGCTTGCGGTAGCATTTGGGCGCTACGCAAGTAGGATATTGGATCGCAGCGCTATAATCGTCGATGCTGATCAGTCCACTGCCGGATGAAGGCCTCCCCAAGCTGTGGCAAGGTAACATTGGTGTTGGCGTGGTATTGGCCACCCACCACCTCATGCGCCGTGCCGGCCTTCATAGGTGCTCGCTAACCGCACCCGTCCCGACAGTCTGCCAACGGTTGCACGGGGGGATATTTGCGTTTGTTTCTTCTTTGTGTGAAGCGATAAGAGACCTGGCGAGGTCCTTCATGAGGTCGCTGATGATGATGGCCCACGGTCCAAAGAGGTGGTGGAAGGAGAGGAAGTCGAGCAGCTGCACGCAGCAGAAGGCCAGCGCCTTGGCCAGCAGGACGTTGCGAGCGCAGAGGCACTCGAGCAGGGCGTGCGAGCCCGCCGGGAAGGCGAGCGCCGACAGGTGGCACAGCAGGGCCAAGCCCGACAAGCCGAGCACCAGCAGCCGGATCCAGGCGAGGCCGAACCGCGACCCTCCTGGCAACGACAAGCACGCGGCAAACGCTGCTTGTCAGCGTCGGCCGTACGTACACACGTACGTATGGATGTTGAACTTCCTTCGCGCCTGACGTAGCCAACCGTGCTGATCGTATGCTTTCTGAATTTGATTACGCTTGTTTACTCGGTAACGCCTCACCGAGACTCGCAGTAGGGGGCAATGAATGCTATTTTAATTGAGTCATTTGCGGCTACTTTTTAAAATTGGGAAACCTTGGACATGAACGCCGGCACACAGTGGCCTACTCTTGTAAAGGACGTCAAGGGGTCTTTAACGTCCACTATGAAGCAGAAAGCGTATTTTTACATACGTACGTATGTTGAACTTCTTCCGTACCGTACGTAGCCAACCGTGCTAATCGGAGAAATTAATCTTCAATCGAAGAAATTCGTTTTCAATACGGGTTGATACACCCGCAGTAATAACCGGGGCAGCCGCCGCATTCAAAACTGTGAACCTCCAGAGCCAAGCGTCGCGAACGCGTTGCCGCCAGGCAGTGTTACCGCCCCACTTCGTGGTTCTCACCGCTGCCTCGGCCGACGAGCTGGCCCTGACGCAACTCGGCGAGCAGCAGGCCCAGCAGCCAGGTGAGGAGGAGCCACTCGTTCCACGAGGGCAGCAGGTGGCCCTCGGCGATGGGCGTGATAGGAGGCCACACCACCGTCAGCACGAACAGGGACAGCAGGAACAGGTGCGACGCCAGGTGGCACAGGAACTTGATGATCGGGATCCGAGTAAACCTGCGAAGGCGGAGGAGTGATGATGAGCGTCCGTCGTCGTGAGCGTCTGGTGCAGTTGCTCGAAGGCGAGCACGTCGCATATCGGACTGTCTCATATATTTATTAACCGCCTTCACCCAGCGCATTGCGTGGCGTAACCGCCAATTTCCCCAGATGCTCACATGTCATAATCACCATTGGAATGTTGAGGATTTTTTTTGCCAAACTCAAGTTCGCCAGGTTTGTGATATCCATGGCGCCGCCGCTCTACCCTATCAATCAATAAATCAACGAAACTGCAAGCTGCACGTGGATTAAACCACCCCTGAGTTAAACCGGGACAGATCATTGGGATACAAATATCCCACAATACCAGAAGAGTGGAAGATTATATGTAAATATAGTGTGTTATTATGAGTATGTACAACGCTACTAACAACAGCCAGGACGTTTAATAAACTATAAACTATTTTTATTTTACTAGCTAAGGCCCACTGAGCTATAGAGCTCTATTTCAGAAGCGACCTGGCCACATATGATAGCTTAACAAAGTGGCTTATCACGTGCACATTTCCAACAGCCAAATACTCTAAGTGCACATTGATTCTAAATGTGGAGGGGAAAACCGGAGGACCCACGCGACCATGGGGAGAGAGACACGCAAACTCTAAATATACAGGCGGGATCGAACCTACGACATCCTGCGATACCAGGCGAGGTAGTTAACATCTCACCACCGTGGCGTCTCTGCCAGAAGTTGCCTGTACCTGTGGCCGAGAGGAAGCGAGAAGGCGACCCAGAGGGGTGGGCAGACGAGGAAACCGAGCAGGAGCAGCGCGAGGCACCAGGAAGGCCAGCGGAGGCCTCCACGCCACACGTCGCTCAGGTGGTGCTGCACGGCCGGGTGCGCCGCCACCGCCCGCTGGTGGCACTCGATGAGGACGTCGAGCAGCGAGAGGCCGCGCTCGTCCACGGCCTGCAGCAGAGCGGCGGCGCCGGCGCTTTGCGAGCCCACGGCGAGAGACAGCAGGTCCGTGGCCAGTGCCTGAAGGGACAGCGGGGAGCGCACGGGCACGGGGTGGCAACCGGCGTTCATCTATTTATTTTAGTCTTAGTCTTGACCTAGGCGATAACTATTTTCGTTGTTTCCACTAAGGCGGAGTCTGTGGATTTCGTTTAGTCACGAGTCTTAGTGTCGTCGGACAGCGTGGGTACTCGCGCCTCTTCCACAAAGTCTGGCCCAGTGTGAATGTGTAACGTTAGGTCCAATATCCTGCAGCCACCACGATCCTTATCATCACCAATGGTGACGAGGGTGATGATGGTAACCAGTGTTTAACTTCAGCTGGAGTGATAGTACATTGGCTGTTACGCTGCGCTACGACGCCATTGGCTAGCACCAATGGCAGTGCCCAATTCGTGGGTATCCACCTGGCAGTGACGCGCGGCCAGGTCGAGGTCGACGGAGCGCTCCTTCTCGCGCAGGGCGGCCGCGCCGAATGCCCGCGTCAGCTTCACCGCCGCCTCCAGGGGCGCGGGCGCCAGCAGCACGAACTCGTCGATCACGCGGAACTCACACTGCCGCCCGCACACCATCAGGTCGTACACGAACTGCGGGAGCCTCGCGCACACACGGATGAGGACAAACGTCCTCCGTATTGCCCGCACGGGTTGTTCAGGCTAAGTGCTGTTAGCGGGCGCCGACTAAGGCCCGGCACGGCACTCGGAGGAGTGGCGTGGCCATTCACGGTCACCGTCGACTGAAATAAGAAATTCTTTGTCGACAGATATTTCCCGTCACTGATTGTGTTATCGACGATGCATGTTGAACTTCTGTTGCACCGTACGTAGCCAACTGCGCTAATCGGAGGTGCAGGGGAAGGATAACAAACTAAACACAAAAAGTAGTTGTAAAGAAATTAGTTTTCAATCGAGATTTAAAAGTGCATAGCAAGAGTGGCTCCCTAATATCGGATGGGGGAGAGTTCCACACGGCCGCAGAAGGACAAATGAAAGCGTTCGATGTTCAACTAAAAGACGCTGCTGCGAGGATGACCGGAGTTCACGTGATGATGGTTCATGCTCCTTGACGAGATCAGCGAGGTATTGTGGTCCATTTGTGGAGGAGCACGACCTCAAAACGTATTCGCTCGTCAACCGGAAGCCAACGCAGCTCGACGAGCACCGGCCGGACACGGCGCTCACCCTGCGGTTGTGGATGAGGCGCTGGGCGGTGGGGGTCGAGTGGCGCAGCAGCAACGCCAGCACGTGGCGGTGGCCGCCGCCGGCCGCGTGCTCGAGGGCCGTGCGGCCGTCACGACACTCGGCCGAGCCGACCGCGCCGCTCTCCAGCAGCGCGCGCACAGCGGGGAGGCGTCCGGCTCGGGCGGCCACGTGCAGCGGGGTGCAGCCGCTCTGCCGACACCGGAGTGGGAGAGCGAGAGACGGAGATTAATTCATTCATCACGCGGAGTCAGCGAAGGGGGCATTGCGCCGAACGTGTGACGTGTTGCGACAGCGTTCGCTTAAACTGCTCTTGCTGCCATACGCCGGCGCCTTGAGTAATTTGTTTGAGCCATGGATCGCGTAGAGGGGCGAGCACGGAGGCGGCGGCATTCCTCTGAGGGTCGCGGTCCACCTCGAACGTCGACCGCCAACTGAAGTGAGCGCAATTTGCTGCAGGAGTTTGCTCGTCAAGAAGGGGCGACGTGTCCAAAAAGAAGTGACAGTCGTCTTCCCACGAACCAAGCTCTCAATCGCGAGGAGACTGGTCGCGTCAGGCTCAGGATCAAACCCACGAGCTGTATAGCAGGAGAGGTAGATAACATCTCGCCACCGTGGCGAGGTGCATGGGCAAAGACACGGGCCGTACGGGCAGCGACGCCACGCCTATTTCCTTCAATATATGTACCAATTAGCACGGCTGACGACGTACGGTGCGAAAGCAGTCCGATAGTTCGACGCAGATGACCACCACCGCACGTGCGACCGCACCGTCATTCGGGCGCACCTTGTCGGTGGCATTGATGTCGGCGCCCTGGCCCAGCAGGAGCCTCAGCGTCTCCACATGTCCGGCGGTGGCGGCGAGGTGCAGGCAGGAGTGTCCGCGCTGGTCCAGCGTGCGCAGCAGCGGCAGCGCGGCGCGGCTCAGCAGCAGCCCCGCCACGGCCGCGTGGCCACCCTGGCAGGCGAGGTGCAGCGGCGTCGTGGCCTGCGACGTGGCACGCGCGGCCCCCAATCGGACAAGTACGACCGGCACAACGCTGCGGGTTAGGATTCTGGCGTGGCGAGTTTACGTCAATTCGTTTGTGGGTTTTTTTGTTTGGGCTCTGGTTCGTTGGCACATTTACACCCTGCGATGTTTGCGTATTTACGTTGAACTTCTTTCACACCGTCCATAGCTAACCGTACTAATCGCAGTTGCGGGGGAAGGACTAAAGACAAAAAGCAGTTCTAAAGAAATACGTTTTAAATGTCGATGTTTTGTAGCTGTCAACACTGCCGGCAGTCCTGGGCAGTGGTCATCCTCGTACGCACAATGGGGCCTTAACATCTGATTAACGAAATCGCCGCCTTGCCGTTGAAACCCATGAGATGTGCGGTGGTTGGGTGACTAAGGGGTCACAGCGCTGAGCCGGTGAAAGAGAACACGGAACGTACACGCTCGCCTCGCATGATTTCCCAGGAACGAATATTTTGGAACCTTGGATTTCAGATTCCGAAATGTTTGCGTGCCAATATTTTTCAACAAAGCAATCCGTGCATATGAGTGGATTGCATCAGGGAGCCACTCAAAAGTCAAGTTTGTTATTTTCACGGTCACACCTGGGTCTTTGTTCATTTCATTCAAACTGGAGCACCGCAAGTTCAAACATAACTCCTCTATTTGCTGCTGGTCACCTGAAGAGATTTCAGAAAACTGCTGTAAATTTGAAAATGCATTACAAATTCGCATAATAACATCATAATTGATTTTTGATTTAAAGCTTTCGTGACTGCAGTGATTCATATTCTTGGTTCTTTCGGTAAAGTCACGTTGAAGGGAAACAATAAAATAATAAAATATATATAAAACGTCGTGAGAATTTTATTGTTTTATATATATTTTGTTGTTTCATAATTAATTTCAAATTGTAACGCGCACAGTTTTCACTCGCACTCAAAGAGAGAGAGAAAACGACTCAAAGGCACAAGGAACCACAGACAACCAGGAAGGCAGCAGCTGGGCACTGAACCGGAACAATCAACAATTTCCCAAGCTCTGCGGTCCTCTATATATTAAGATGCTTTCAGCCGATTAATGAGTGTTTACATGTGGGAGGCAACTAGAGGGCCCCGAGAAAACGCACGCATGCGGGGGGATTGAACGGGGCTGCATCTCAAGACGCTGTACAGAACCGGTGGGCAAGTTTGAGGTTCTTAAGCCTGGACTTACATACAAAGACGTACGTAGACTCACATAAAGAACCATAAGCATTGGAAATCCATACACTTACATCGATATAGATATCTAAAGATTTATGGAGAGATCATAAGACTCACACAGAGGCCAACGGAATTACATAGAAACCCCATAAATGTATGTAGACCTTTGTACGATATGATACAATTTGGATTCATATAGTATCTAAACGCGACTGGATCTCAACGGTGGGCAAGGTTATATTATCGAGAGAGGCAGTCGGTGGTCACAGGCAGAGTTAAAGAGAAACGTCCAAAGCCTGAACTTCAACAGCAGCAGGGAGTCGACAACACGGACAGCTGGCCGGAGGGAACTGCTGTTGCCTTCGTCGTTGTCGTGAGCGCTGTTGTGGTGGGACCTGCCTGCGGGCCGGCCTGCAAGTCCTCCTGCGTGCTCGGGTGGTTGAGGAGGAGCCGCACGAGGCTCTCGTGGCCGGCCTGAGCCGCCAGGTGAAGCGGAGTGAGGCCGCTCTGTTGCACAGGAGAGAGCGTAAGGACGTTGGCAGTCTCCCTCGCACGCCTCGGAAACACAAAGCGAAACCCTTATCACATCTCGTCTCGGCCATTCCAATGTCCTGTGGCAGTATTGCCCAGGGGACTCCCAGTGGCTGCCGTCCCTATGTGGCGCAACCTGCACGCAGCGCCGGCTTGCAATTGGGTAAAGCCCCATGCGGAGACACGTAAACTCTCACATTGAGAGCAAGTGTATGGTGACTCGTATCGAGACGCGTAGACTTACACAAAGAGCTAAAGATAAGCATTAATGGGGTACTTAATGCCTCGTCACATCTCATCCCGGCTCTAGTTTTTATGTTTAGCTCATCGGAGACACACGGAGGACAGGGCATGCAGCACTGGCTGAACGTCATCCACTAACGCACGGGCACCGACAACAAACCTCACCGCTTGGAGCTGGTTACCCGCCCACAGAGCAAAGTATGGTCAAACAGCCCACCTGACCCACACAGCTGTTGTTATAAGCTGTCGTGGGGTTATGTAGCGGGCAGCAGAGTTCACTGCAAGAAAAATCCACTGCTGCCCTGCACTGTGATGCTCCCGTATATCGATACTCCTCACATCTTTACCAGTCAGTTGCCTCCTTATCACTCTTCAGTCTCTCCTGCTGTGGTTACTGTTTCCGTGAACTTCACTCGTTCATTCCTCCACCAACATTTATTCACGTACGAATGTGGAACTTGTTTAGCACCGTACGTAGGCAACCGTGCTAATTTAGGACACTTTTCTTCTGCCAGAATGTTTCGTCTCATCCGCACTGTCCAACCACGCCACACTGCAAGTCACAACAATGATTTTGCCTCTTCCCTTACACTGCCCAACTTTGGAATTGCCTCCACATCGTCTCGATTCACAAGTTATTGCTACCTTGCACAACGCAACAAACACGAACCCTTATCTTGTACACCTTCAATGGTGCTGGGATTGTATCGCTGGCCAAAGGGCGTTTGGGCCTTTGCTCGGCGACTGTGTTTAGCAGAACAAATACCTGCACTGACCGGCATGGTGAAGTATGGTCAAACAACCCAACCCCCCCCACCACTCCCGACACGGCGTGGCGAGGCCTTCGTCCTGCAGTAAACTCACAAAGGGCTATATTCTTAGTTTTTTCGGTAAAGTCACGTTGAAGAGAAACAACAAAATAACAAAATATATATAAAACAATAAAAAATTCTCACGACGTTTCGACCATAACTCAAACGGTCATCATCAGGTGTGTCGGTTTGCATAAATTTATTTTGAAAACGGCATATTTATTTATATATATAAAAATAACGTTTGCGTCACGCGCAACGATGGCAGTTTGCCAGGACTAGTCCATCTATTTTTTGAAAAGTGGAGGGGGGAGACGAAATTTGTTTTTATGTATGCTGTCTGAAAGGCACTGTAAGCGTGAACAATCAATCAAGAACTGAAATGATTTATCAAATCTTTCCAATGATTGCTAAGATAGAATCCATCTTCTCGGTTGAAATTGTCTCTGTGTTTGTATATGTGGATAGCCTCATGAACGAATCTCTCATGGAAGCCAGATGGCTTACAAAGAACCTCCGTCTTGGAAAAGTCAATGGCATGTGAGCCTACTGAATTAGAACAATGATCTGCTACGGCCGAGGTGTTGGTCCTACCGTGTTTAAGGTCTGCTTTATGTTCACGAATGCGGTCCGAGATATGGCGTTTGGTTTCTCCAATGTAACTACTACCACAGAGGCAACTTAGTTTGTAGACACCAGGGTATTGTATGTCCGGAATCACATCTTTTACAGACGGAACCAGATCACGGATTTTATGTAATGTGTTGAAACGGACCTGGATCTTGTGTTTATTCAAGATTTTGGAGATCTTTTTTGTGATCCCAGCAATGTAGGGTAAAGTGATGGTTTTGAAAGGCTCCTCAAGAGGGTTCTTCTTCATGGTTTGAGTGATAGCTTTGCGGATTGTATAGTCGGAGTAACCATTAGCCCTAAGAGCTTGGTGTACGTGCTTGAGTTCACTGCTTATGTGTTCCTGGTCGGATATGCATTGGGCTCTATGATACAGAGTCTTGATGAGAGAATTCTTCTGTGATGGATGGTGGTGGGAATCCGGTTTCAGATAAGCATCCGTATGGGTAGCTTTCCTGTAGACAGAGTGGCTCATTGAACCATCAGGTCTATTTTTTTAAAAAAAGAGACCTGATGGTTCAATGAGCCACTCTGTCTACAGGAAAGCTACCCATACGGATGCTTATCTGAAACCGGATTCCCACCACCATCCATCACAGAAGAATTCTCTCATCAAGACTCTGTATCATAGAGCCCAATGCATATCCGACCAGGAACACATAAGCAGTGAACTCAAGCACGTACACCAAGCTCTTAGGGCTAATGGTTACTCCGACTATACAATCCGCAAAGCTATCACTCAAACCATGAAGAAGAACCCTCTTGAGGAGCCTTTCAAAACCATCACTTTACCCTACATTGCTGGGATCACAAAAAAGATCTCCAAAATCTTGAATAAACACAAGATCCAGGTCCGTTTCAACACATTACATAAAATCCGTGATCTGGTTCCGTCTGTAAAAGATGTGATTCCGGACATACAATACCCTGGTGTCTACAAACTAAGTTGCCTCTGTGGTAGTAGTTACATTGGAGAAACCAAACGCCATATCTCGGACCGCATTCGTGAACATAAAGCAGACCTTAAACACGGTAGGACCAACACCTCGGCCGTAGCAGATCATTGTTCTAATTCAGTAGGCTCACATGCCATTGACTTTTCCAAGACGGAGGTTCTTTGTAAGCCATCTGGCTTCCATGAGAGATTCGTTCATGAGGCTATCCACATATACAAACACAGAGACAATTTCAACCGAGAAGATGGATTCTATCTTAGCAATCATTGGAAAGATTTGATAAATCATTTCAGTTCTTGATTGATTGTTCACGCTTACAGTGCCTTTCAGACAGCATACATAAAAACAAATTTCGTCTCCCCCCTCCACTTTTCAAAAAATAGATGGACTAGTCCTGGCAAACTGCCATCGTTGCGCGTGACGCAAACGTTATTTTTATATATATAAATAAATATGCCGTTTTCAAAATAAATTTATGCAAACCGACACACCTGATGATGACCGTTTGAGTTATGGTCGAAACGTCGTGAGAATTTTTTATTGTTTTATATATATTTTGTTATTTTGTTGTTTCTCTTCAACGTGACTTTACCCAAAAAAACTAAGAATATGAATTACTGCAGTCACGAAAGCTTTAAATCAAAATCACAAAGGGCTGTGAACTGCGAAACGAAATTTCTCGCTTTCACATATCACTGCCATTGAGACATGGGACCCAGGCCATAGGCAGAGCTGGTCACGGAGCAAGTGGGTGCGGCAGTCGGTCAGGTGGGGGTCCCAATGCTGCTGAGAAAATATCTCATGGTGGTTGTCAAGAGAGGCCCCAGCTCGTAGCTTTGGGGTGGGGGGGGGGGAGGCACCCCCCGCCCCCGACGCTAGCTCCGCGACTGGTTGAGACACAAATGACCGACGCTGCGGCTGCCCCTGCCCGCACCTCTGGAGCTGCGTCTCTGCCGGCGGCGACGTTGACGGGGTTCGGGCGCGTGCTCTCCGGGGCGGCCGAGACGCTCGCCAGCATCTCCCGCGCAAAGTCGACCTGCCCAAAGCGTGCGGCGACGTGGAGCGCCGTGAAACCGGTCTGGGGGCAAACGAGCGAGGATTTCTTTACCGACGCAAGCGGCGCGCAAGGCAGGCGATGGCGAGGATTTGCAGGCGCGGTGGTGCTTGCTTAAATGCCTTGGCAACTCAAAGTGGCTTACATCGCATCTCATCCCAATCATCCCAATGTACTGCAAGCAGTCCAGTCGAGGGGTATCTTCCAGTGCTAGCCATCCCGTACGTGGCACGAAGTGGACAGAGCACCGGCATTTAAATGGATAAAGACCCATAGTGAGACCCATAGACTCACATACAGGTCCATAAACTTCCACAGAGATCCATAGAGCACATAGGAAAAAGGATTTTAATTTATGGGGCTCTTAAATTATCTCATCTCCACTATACTAATGCCAGGGTGAAGGTTTTTTTGTTTTATTTTAGCCCCCTTTTGGCAGCTGTCCCTGTGCGGCACAATGTGAATGCAGCACCTTGACTTTATGCAGCATGTTCATTTGTACTTTCCCCAATGAAGTAACCGATCAACTTGTTAGGAGACACGCCCTGAATTGATGTGTGTTGCTGAAAGGGTTAACAACCCCAAAAATAATGAATCAACGTCTCGGTGCAACCTTGGTGCTGGTCACATTGAACGGAAATCTTTGCTTCAGAACTTCCAACACGCCAGTGTGGCCGTGCTTTGCTGCGAGGTGAATGGCCGCCATGCCCTCCTGCGCAGACAGACGTCGCAAAAACCATTGCAGAAGCGTACGCAACAGTTCAGTTCATTTATTAGGTATAGCCCTGTTGGTGTACGGTGCTTTTTCTGGAAGATGTTCTTTCCTGGATTTTTCTGTTTGAGCGTAGTCACTTTAAGATGTTTTCTTGTTCATGTTTTTGTTTTTCGTTTGTTGCGGTTGCACCCGATTCAAGAGCCGAGCTTAGCAGTGTTCATTGGAGCGCTGTCTTTCCGACAGTTCTGTTTCTTCACCTGAGGAAGGCTACTTGTGTCGTGGCCGAAACATCGTGAGAATTTTATTTTGTTATATTTTATTTGTATTATTTGTCTTCTACGTGACTTTACCGAAAGAACCAAGAAGAGGAAGAACAAGAAACATCTTAAAGTGACTACGCCATCAACAGCACGTCCATCATCGTTTTCGTCAGCGAATAGGTTTGGTGTCCGTGACAATCGCACGGCCCGTTGTTGCCACGAAGACTCCACGTTTCACAGACCAGCATAGCCTGCCTGTCTTAATGGCGATGATGATGACGAGGATGGTGATGATGACGAGGATGGTGACGAGGATGGTGACGATGACGAGGATGGTGACGAGGATGGTGACGATGACGAGGATGGTGACGATGACGAGGATGATGATGACGAGGATGGTGACGACGAGGATGGTGACAATGACGAGGATGGTGACGAGGATGGTGACGATGACGAGGATGGTGACGATGACGAGGATGGTGACGAGGATGGTGACGATGACGAGGATGATGACGAGGATGGTGACGATGACGAGGATGGTGATGACGAGGATGGTGACGAGGATGGTGACGATGACGAGGATGGTGACGACGAGGATGGTGACGAGGATGGTGACGATGACGAGAATGGCGATGGATATTTGGCCGGTCTCCCAGGTCAGCCAGGCGTCTCGGGGGACAACTTGGGAAGCACCCACACTTTACGACCAGAAATTTGATTAAATGGCATCGGTGAACGCTGCGATCCGTCTCTCGCCGATTTGGCGCTGCCATGACGGTGATGAGTGGGGGGGGGGAGGGGGATTGGGGTTTGGGTTGGTGCGGGGGGGGGGGGGCTGGGTTGGAGGTCGCCGGCTCACGGAGTCTTCAGCAGCGGGGGAGGCTCCGGCCTCCAGGAGGATTCTCACGGCCTGGACGTGGCCCCCGGCGGCAGCCAGCTGGAGGGGGGTCGACCCGCTCGCCTGCACGCACAACGCACACAGACACTGCAAGCACCCTCCGGGGTTCGATGGCAAGGTGTTACCTGCATCGCCTGGTACACAGCAGGCTGTGGGTTCGATCCTGACCCTGACTCCTGTTGTATATTTGGACTTTGCGTGTTCTCTCTCTCGCCGTGGTGGCGTGAATTTTGCTCTGGGTTATCCCTACACATTTGGAATCAACTTGCATTCAGAGTATGTGGCTGCTATACATTTACACGTCATGAGCCACTTCGTTGAGCCATCGTTGTGGCCAGGTCGCTTCTGAAAAAAGGTCTATACAGCTCAGTGGGCCTTACCTGGTAAGATAAAAAAGCAAGCTTCGTTTAAATAGAAAGGTACGGCCAACTTTTTCAACTTCGTGACTCCGCAATGGCATCTGGAGGTCTCCGGTACGCTTTGACCTCCCGGCAGAAGTACTGATCAGCCGCTAATCTGTGAGTACGCATATCCACATACACTCTGTTTTACGCTGTAACGTGAGGACTACACAATGAACGCAGGTGTTTGTTAAATCTCCGTGCCCCTGTCCACCCGGCAGTATAAAAGTGTTCACCCGTCGATCAGCAGCTCGTACGTGCTGGGGTCAAGTTGTGGGTGTTTCTCGCCTCTTGCAAGACGTCTGGCCAGTGTGGAAGAGGAAGCCAAAATTAGAGGGCATTATTATAATTATGTTCAGCTGAATCAGTCCGCTAACCAGACGTTGGATGCGTGACCTTTTTTGAAATGACACAGTCACATCCAGCCAGGTATCTATAAAATAACTTGCAAATCTATTTACTCCCTCTCTCTCTGCTCCACTCTCTATTTAAGGCCTCGACACAGACGCGTTGTTTCTCTGTGTACCTATGTGTTTGTCTCTCTCTATGTATCTCTGTGTTATCTCTCTCTCTCTCTGCTTGTGTGTCTGTCTGTGTGTCTCCGTGTCTGTGTTTTGTCTCTCTCTTAAATTTAGCAATCTTTGGAAGAACGTAATCAACCAGTTAGGATGTTGACTGTTATGTTAGCCGACTCTTTGTTGTATTGCATTATATTTCCAAGTGTACTAGGTTTGTTTTCTCTTTCATTTGTACCTGATGATGATTGCTTGTGTTGCAATCGAAACGTCGTATGCTGTTATTTAATTTATTATTTTCTCTTTCCACGTGACTTTACCGAAAGAACCAAACAGTATATATTCATATACATTTCTTTGTCCGGAGGATTTCTGATCGACCGCTCCGTCAATTTCAATAAACGAGGAGTCACTGGAGAGCTTTGTGCCATCTCTCTCTCTCTCTCTCCGTTCCCCGGGACGGGGAACCTGCGCGTCCCACTGACCTGGGTCCGCACGGCCGTCACTCCGGGGCGACGGTGGTGCAGCAGCTGGCGCAGCACGGGGGCGCTGCCCCTGGCGGCCGCGATGTGCGCGCACGTGCGGCCTCGCCCGTCGGCCACGGCCACCAGCGCGGGGTGCCGCTCCACGAACAGCGCCACCACCGACGGATGGCCGCTGTCAGCGGCAAGGTGCAGCGCTGTCTGCCCACCCTGGTAGGAACATTGCGTGCCGTCATCGTGGTCGTCATCATGGTCGTCATCATCTTGAATTAACCACGATTAAGGCGACGATTTTTGGCACGGTCATTTTATGGTCGCTTCATTCACTGGCGAAGTGCCGGAAAATAACGACAATGTACAGATACTGTAGTTCACGGACAGGTGTGGGCGGTACCCCACCGAAAAACCTGCTTTTAAAAATAGAAAAATATATTCTTCAACAGATATATTAAAGTTTAATATTAAAAAAGCCCTATGCCCCTCCTGGCCCTTCTCTACCCCCTGCGCGACCGGAGGGACCTACGTCATCCACGGCGTTCACGTCGGCCTTCAGCTGCAGCAGGGTCCGGCACACGGCCAGCTGCCCGCTCGTCGCGGCCAGGTGGAGCGGCGTCCTCCTTCGCTGCGCCGAGAGGACATTGCGGAGACCGAGACGACGGCACGGGGATCGAAACGAGCGCGCGACGATATTCAACAATATTAACCGGGCACGACGGCTTTTCGCCTGTGACACGGAGATTCGGATTCTGGGATGGTGTGTCACGTGGATCAGGGCGTGCGGAACATTTGGCCTTTGAATTAAGTTCACACGGCCCTTAGATGACGTCGCTCTACAGAGGGTTGCTTCCAATGCTCTTCTGGTAGCCCGTGAGGCAGAGCAGAAATCGGTACCACCTACGGTCGCAAAACATTCATGGAACCAATTAATTTTGCATGGCTATATTTATCATTTTCATTCAATTTTTCACGAATGATTTGATAACCCACTCATCTCAGGCGGTTATGCCAGAAGTCACCGACAGTGCCCGCGTGAAGAAAAAAAAAAAACGGAACCGCTAAAACGCTACGCCAACTCTGCTGGCACCCGCGATTTCGAACATTCGCTTCTGGGCTCGTGGACAGTCGGCGCCGCCACCTCCCCCGCCGCCTCCTCACCAGCGTGAGCGCGTCCACGGCGGCGCCGTGCGTCCGAGCGAGCAGCAGCGCGAGGGCCGCGTGTCCCGCGGCCGCGGCCGAGTGCAGCGGCGTGTGGCCCAGCTTGCTCTTGGCGCTGGCGAAGGCGCCGCGCCGCAGCAGCTCGCCCGCCACGCCGTCGCGGCCCGACTCGGCCGCCAGGTGCAGCGCCGCCTTGCCGTGCTGCGGCAGAGGCGGCGCAAAAATACCGCGGGGACGCTCCTCGGTGCTCGGAAGGTGGCAGCGGGGGGGGGGGGGGGGGCGGCGCGGGGGGGGGGGGGGGGGGGTTTGGATCCGGCAGGAGCGTGGAGGCGTAGCGCCGCTGTGTACGCCGTGACAACCGGCGATGCCGCGTACGCCGGATCAAGACGAGTGGCTTTTCGTTTCCCCCCGGACAGTCTCTACTCCGATAATGCACGCGTGTTGTTGTTGTTGTTATTTTCATGATATAACGGCATTTTCTTGGTTCTTTCGGTAAAGTCACGTAGAAGGGAAACAATAAAACAATAAAAAAATAAAAAATAAAAATTCTCACGACGTTTCGACTGCAACACAAGCAATCGTCATCAGGTGTGAAAACCACAGCAAGAAATTTTATGAAAACCACAGCAAGAAAATTTAAAATTTTCTTGCTGTGGTTTTCACACCTGATGATGAATGCTTGCGTTGCAGTCGAAACGTCGTGAGAATTTTATTGTTTTATATTTTTATTATTTTATTCTTTCCCTTCTTCGTTACTTTACCGAAAGAACCAAGAATATGAATCCCTGCAGTCACGAAAGCTTTAAATCAAGATATAACGGCAGTTGAGCGAACAAAACTACGTCTCGCAAGTATGAATGAAGCGGTTGTACAGCTGCCTCGGCGCAGCAACTTCACGCAAGGCGGGATGCTGCTGGATGCTTCTAGATGCTACCCACGCGCCTCGGTGTTTGTTCAGCCTGCGTACACATCTCACGTGATATCGCGGACTGTGCTTTACCCTACATGATATATTATAACGCGGTATTCTTCAGGAACGCAACTACAGCGTTATAGGGGCACAGACTGTACATAAAAAGCAAATGGTAAGGGTGCATACTGTGTTTTAATCCAATGGATGTGTGTGTGTGTGGCCACAGTTGAATATCTTTAGCTGGGCGCTGGTGGCTACGATGCCACGTGGCCCGTAATCCAGCGCTGTTGAGGCGGCGGCGAGGGCTTGGTGGATCGCCGCACAAATGTTGTGAAACTTCCCCTCCCGCGGCCGCCGAGGAGGGGTCATGCCCTGGCTCACCAGGAGATGGCGGTACAGCAAGGGGACTAATCGCCATATGTTTCCATCTGTACGGGGATGGAGTGTTTACCCCCTCACGTTTCCTCCGGGTGCTCCGGTTTACTCCCACTTGTATAATAATTAATCGGCTGAAAACATTAAAATAAAAACACACTGCAGCAGGACCCTCCTGAAACGGAGTCCTACGACTTAGTGTGACTTTCCTGGATAAATAAATAAGCTTATCAAGTAAGTGAATTAACACCAGGCACAACTTTGGAGTGCGTCTTACTTCCCAGAGCGTCTCATCTTGATAAACCGTAGCAAAAAAGAATGATTGAACGCAGACTCTGCCGTGGCCACGTCAGAACAATGCCACCAAACAGGAATCCAGAAAAATCAGTGTCAGCGTGAGTGGCAACACGACGGACTGATGATGGAGTGCAGGAGGAGGCACTGGAGAGGTGAGGAGAGGGGAATGACACAGCAGATGGGAAATGATGATGACGACGACGATGATGAATGATGATGATGATGGAGGACACTGCTACTGCCACCACTGGAGGTTCGTGAACACAGCGACCTGAAGCAAACAATAAAGACCCCTCCCCGACACCCCCGTGCCTCCCCGAGAAAAGCGATGGCCGGGAGACCGGACCAGCCAGTGGCGGCTCCTCCTTGTAGTCCAGACCTCGTCGAAGACGTCCACTCTCGCGTGGTTCTCCAGCAGAAGATTCACGACCTCCAGGCGCCCCTCCTCGACTGCCACCATGAGAGGTGTCCATCCGTTCTGCAGAGTTGGGGTTACGCGTGTGTTTATTTCAAAGAGCGCCTGGCCTGGCACCGGAGCCGTGGTGACGTCACCCTCACCACTAGCCCGGCATGCTGCATAGTTTTAAAAAAAAAATTCACTAGATAAGGCATTGCCTTTCCTTGTTCTAGATAAGGCATTGCCTTATCTAGAACAAGGAAAGTAATGAAGCATCTATAAACTCGGACAAGTGCAGAGTATAGCTTTCGATGGTGTTTTCGGGCTGTACCGCGTGTTGTTCGGCATGACGTCCGACGTTCCGCTCCACGTGTTGGGAGCATCTTCAGGAACTGAACTGTCAATCCCACTGGGCTGCAAGACGGTGGCTAGGAATCAGTTCCTGAAGAAGCTCCCAGCACCCACACGCAACAGCACAACCGCGAAAACCAACTCAGTTCGCGAATCTCAATGAGGGAAATAATGTTAGGATTTCTCAACATTCAGGCAGCACAACGTGTGGGCTTTTCCAACCAATATTATGGTTCACAATTGAATCAGCCATTAGATCTGGACAAATCTGCGTCGTTAAGCATAAAAAATATATTGCTGCGAGATCCGTTCTCCCACTTGCTCGGTGAGCCGCAACAAAAATTGGCGGTGCGTCGTTAAACGCGTGCACAAGCGACAATCCCGTTCGTTTGGCTGTGTCGGGTGGTCGATGGACTGATGATTACGCAAAGTTGGCCGGATCATTCCATGGCCCAACCCAAAATTCAGCTGAAGTGATCATTCGGACCGCAGTCGCGAACCGGGATCGATTCTCTCAAATTCCTGCAGATTCCCGATCGGCCGCGGTCACCTTGGCCTGCCGGTTGAGGGCCCTCTGGGCGCCGTTTGGACCGACGTGGTTCAGGATCTCCGTCAGAGCGGCCACTCCGCCTGCTCGAGCGCTGTAGTGCATCGGCGTCTCTCCAGTCTGGAGGGGGGGAGACACGGAGGAGGTAGCTAAGAGCGAGCCAGCAAAGTCACGCCCTGCGAGCGCTCCACCAATCCGCCTTTGTGCGGTTCACGTTGCATGCCGCCTGCCCCCCCTGCCCCCCCCCCCCAAAATCTGCATTTAAAGTGGCGTTCTTCTTCATTGCAAGGCACGCGGGCCAAATGCGGCCCCTGTTGGCCTTTAGTGCGGCCCCTGACGTGCAGCCCCCCCACAATACACAACAACAACAGCGGATTAAGGACTGAGAGGGGTGAGTGTGAGGGGTGAGTGTGAGGGGTGAGTGTGAGGGGTGAGGGGTGAGCGTGAGGGGTGAGTGTGAGGAGTGAGTGTGAGGAGTGAGTGTGAGGGGTGAGCGTGAGGGGTGAGCGTGAGGGGTGAGCGTGAGGGGTGAGTGTGAGGAGTGAGTGTGAGGGGTGAGCGAGCGAGCGAGTGGGTGGGCAGGCAAGTGAGTGTGTGAGTAAGCGAGTAAGTAAGCTAGTGAGCGAGCGAGTGAGTGAGTGAGCGAGCGAGTGAGCGAGTGAGCGAGTAAGCGAGTGAGTGAGCGAGTGAGCGAGTAAGCGAGTGAGTGAGCGAGTAAGCGAGTGAGTGAGCGAGTGAGCGAGCGAGTGAGCGAGTGAGTGAGTGAGCGAGCGAGTAAGCGAGTGAGTGAGCGAGTGAGTGAGCGAGTGAGCAAGTGAGCGAGTAAGCGAGTGAGTGAGCGAGTGAGTAAGTGAGTAAGCTAGTGAGTGAGTGCGTGAGTGAGTAAGCTAGTGAGTGAGTAAGCGAGTGAGTGAGTAAGTGAGTGAGTAAGTGAGTAAGCTAGTGAGTGAGTAAGCTAGTGAGTAAGCGAGTGAGTGAGTGAGTAAGTGAGTGAGTAAGCTAGTGAGTAAGCTAGTGAGTGAGCGAGTGCGTGAGTGAGTGTGTGAGTGAGTGAGTGTGTGAGTGAGTAAGTGAGTAAGCTAGTGAGTAAGCTAGTAAGCTAGTGAGTAAGTGAGTAAGCTAGTAAGTAAGTGAGTGCACGCGCACCAGGTGCGTGCGTGCGGCGGGGTCCGCGCCGTGCTGCAGGAGGAGGCGCGCGACCTCCGGGGCCGCCTCGCCACCCGCCGGGCCCGGCAGCTCGACGGCAGAGTGCAGCGGCGTCTCTCCCTCCTGGCGGGCACCCTCGCGTCCACCCCGGCCGCGTCACGCAATGCCGACGGGCACCCACCGCGGCGCTTGTGGCCGGGCAACTTCGATTTAAAGGCGTCGATTTGTGATTCGTCGCCTCGCGTTTTATTTTTTTCCCTCTCGTCGGTGTCGTTTTCTCAAGTGAGTTTTCTGGTTGTTTGTCTGCACGGTTTGCGTTTCGTCGCGTTTGACGGAACGCAACGGCGGCTCTGCGAGATCGTGCACGGGTTGGACGCGTGGTGTCGCAAGCGTAGGGATCGGATTAAATCAATGATTCCCGTGCATCATTCCATGCCTCGTGATCATAATACAAATTCGTGGCTGATAGAGTGCCCTTCATGCCAGGCCATATCACAGCGCTCTTAGTACGCATGCTGATTTTTATTGGATAATTGCACATCTCTAGTTTAAGGCGTAGGCTTTCGCGACCAATATCATCCATTTGGGGGGTTAGATCACGTAATTACGCACCTTTCTCGTGTATAAAATAATGTATACTTATTTATTTTTTCGGGAAAACCATAATGAGTCGAATGTCTCTCTTTTCAGGAGGGTCCTGCTACACGGGATATTTACTTGACGAAGATGCCTCTGGCCAATTACTGAGAACACCCACGCACGCGAAGGGGGTCCACGCTGTGTCCCCGTACAGATGGGAAACAGATGGAGATTAGTCCCCTCGTTGTTCTCCTGGTGAGCCAGGGTATGGCTCCACCTCTACGCCCACGGAAAGGGAGCTTCGCGGGATTTGTACGATCCACCAACCCTCACTGCCTCCAGCGCTGAATTACGGGCGTGCCACCACTGGCCCGGCTGCATGATACGGGGTGCTTCAAAGAACACGTGAGAATTTGCAGCAATACCACGTGACATGTGCTGCTGCCTCAAGGCCCTGGAGAAGATTCCAGGCAATGTGTTGATAATAATGGCGAACGAGTGGAGACTCTTCGAAGTTATTATTTTACGGTGTATTATCCGTTCTTTTTTCCATTAAAAACGATAATCCCATGTAAGCGCTGATTTTTTTTTGTTTAAGCACCCTGTAATTACAATAAGATAAAGTTAAGGTCAAATTATAACCTTAAATTCACCTGATACCACCTGCATGGTGTTCAGCCTTCGGCGCTCCCCACGTTGTCCTGCTTGGAGCTGCCACTACGACGGCCCGGTTGGATTTTGTGCCAAAGTAAAAATGGAAGAGTGATGCGGAGCTCCCAGCATAGGGTGCGGAACGTCGGACACGAGGCCGAACAACACACGCTTTGTGGCGCCACCCGAAAACACATCCAAAAGAGAGAGCTAAACCGTGTATTGTTTTTTTTTACGGCCGAATAAAAGTCACAAACTTGGTGTCCTGCCCAGGTGGACAAACATCAAATTTCCTGCGTGGGCAGCTAGAGCGTGACCGCCGCAGGCACGGGTCCGTCGCCGGTGGCTCCCACCATGCATGTGTGTGCTCGAGTGAGAGACGGCTAGTGCCGAGTTTGCTCTCATAAGTCAACAGCCGGGTCCAGCAACAACCTCGATTTATTGGCGACTCAATTCTCGCTCCACTTCAAACGGCTAATATCAAGCGTGTGTGTGTGTTTGTGTTTGCTGTTCCGATGACATAAAAGGTGAAATTGGAGCACGCGTGGGCAGTTAAAAGGGGATGCTGCCGCTCCGTATCACGGTTGGTAGCGCGCCCGGCCTTGCAACCCCGAGGTCGCCGGCTCAATTCGATATCACGACGCGGCTGTTGAAACGACCGTGCGGGCTTCTTAAATCGCGAGGGAGGCCCACCTCGTTGGCCTGGTTGACGAGCGCCGTAACTTGGAATCGGCGCGGATCGGAGGAAAAGACTCGCAGGATCTCGCGCACCAGGGCCACGTGGCCGTGACGCACCGCCACGTGGAGGACTCCCTCACCGGCCTCGCCATGGACAAAGACAAAGATACCCCGGATAGACGTCAAGCCCGAGTCAATAAAACTTGCGTACCGATTTTGAAAGACAATCATAGAGGTCTGCTTTACACGCGAAATAAATATATAAGAAAGCAAAACATTTTGGTAAACATTTTTTTATATATAGAAAGTGGTTTTAAAAAAATAGACTAGTTTAGTATTTTTTCGAAA